GGATGGATCATCTGGTGGGATCCCTGGATTACTCCTACAGCACCACATCTTACTTTGGGACCACCACTGCATGCGTAAGAGCCAACCAGGTGGCCTGCATGGCCAGAAAGCAGGTGCTAGAACTTACGGAGCCAGGTGGCTATCCCCATAAGAAAGCTGGACAAAGGACAGGTGGCCAGACCTCATTTCTCCTCCTTAAGCTCACACTTAAGAGCCAGGAAGGAAAGCCAGTGATGACCTTGCCCGTTGCCTCTGCTCCTCTTGGCTGCCTTCTGCTCTCACCCACGACTTTGCCACTCCACAACAAAGCATTTCCTGTGGGCATGATAAGTCCCAGATCCTACCCTATCACTGCGATTTTATCTCTGCCCTCAGTGACATCACAGCCAAGGGGATCTGTATCTCTGGTACAGAATGGAGGAGGCACAGATGGTTGGAGGGCAGGGGACAGCCACACCTAGGAGTGCGTGGTCAGTGGCCAGGCCAGTTGCTACCCAGGGAAACCCAAGGGGCAGGGCAGGGGTGATACCAATGCTGCAGGCATTGCCAAGCCCCCTGCACCCTCTTGTTCAATGAGGAGGGAAGGCTGGTGTGGCGGGACAGACAGTGGTTGAAGCCCCACGTAAAGCATCACATCAGAGGACATTAGACACATGCGAAGGCCTGTTTGCAACCCATAGGTCTCTATTCCTTCCCTAGAGCTCTGCATGCCTCTATTTCCTCACTTAAGAAGGAAAAAGAACTCACTGAGCCATAAGAGTTCATTAGGTGCTCTTCAAAGTACTGCATGTTCATCAGCACCAGCATACTCAGCCCTCACCACAGCACTAGTAAGTGGGTGCTGCTGTAAGAACCCCCACTTTTTAGGTGTGGAAACTGAGGCACGCCGGGGTTAAGAAGGTTGCCAAGGCTCACACAGTGGTAAGTGGCAGAACTGGGACTCCGAGCCACATAGCCTGGCTCCAGAGTCCATGCTCTCAACAACCCCCTGACCAGGCGACACAGATGACACCAGGTGACACTCAGTGCTCAATATATGGTGGCAATGGCTGTCCCAAGAAAAACTGCCTGGTTGCTCCACTGGGCCCCGTCTTCAGCTAAAGCTCAATTCTGTGGACTGCAGCATCTCCCAAACACCCCCAACAACCCACCCCCCTCACCCCTTCCTTTCTGAAGTCTCGTCCTCCCCAGTGTCTTTGGCAAAGATTTGTAAAAGGTTCACTTTGCAGGGAATCCCACAGATGATCCAGATTCACAGATATGGAAACTGAGGCTGAATAGAGCAGAGATAGGCCCAGCCACACAACCAGTCGGAGGCAGGGTGGGGTCTCTCAACTCCTGGTCCAGTGCTCTTAGGACTTCCACTGCCATCCCATTCTCACCCAGCGGTCCCCACAGCCTCTTCTGCACATCTGATTAAACAAGTGCCTGCTGAGGGCTGCACTGTAAGTTAACGGACGTGGACTGCATGGCACAGAGCCGTCAGTAAGGAAGCCTCCTCCCTTCCTGGGCGTCTGGGGCTTCCAAAGAAGCCCACGAGGTCTTGCCTGAATCCATCTCCCACCCTGGCCAGTCAGGGCAGGTTCCAACTGGGGGTCCTTTGGTCACTCATGCTGGCCGCTCAGAAGAAAGGCCAGGAAACAGGTATGGTGCTAGAACAGGGGACTCAGCAAGTTCACACCCTGCTTTTTTTTTTTTTTTTTTTTTTTTTTTCATACAAATTCTTTTTTCAATTGAATCCAGGTCTCACTATGTTACTCTGGCTGGTCTCGAACTCCTGGACTCCAGTGATCTTCCCACCTAGGACTCCCAAAGACCCACCCTGCTTAGAACAGGAAACTATGGCTAGAGAAAAGAAGGTCTCCAGACCACCACACCCCCATCTTTCAAGAGAGAACTCCTAGGAAACCCTTTGAAGAAGTGGTTTTCTTTAGGGACTGAGAACACAGACTCTGGAGTCAACTGGACCTGGGTTAAAATCCCAATCCTGTCACTTCCAGGCTGTGTGATTTTAAGTAACTTGCTTAACTTCTCTGAGTAAGTGTAATGCAAACAGTAATTCCCACCTCACTCCAAAGAGTAAACACACAGTAAATGTTGGCAACTATTGTATAAGAAATCTTATTATAATATTGTTATTACAGTAATAGCATAAGAGAAGAGCTGAATATTCTATGAATATAATCTTGTTTTATTGTTACATTCTTATAGACACACATTCACAATTCATCTATACCCATATTCCTAGACACTTAACCACACACACAAACTCACAACCATTACCCAAACCCCACAGCAATGCAGAAAGCAACCTCGTGTACGCACCACATAGCGGGCACTGCCGCCCCCTTAGTCCTCACAGCAGCCTGTGAGGTGGGGGTGTTTTCATCTCCCGCCTCTCAGATGAGGATCCACACAGCACATGCATGCATACGTGTTCACAGCATCCTGGGATGTGGGCATTTCTGGCAGCTCTGAGACCCATGAACTCCCTCCTTCCGATCAGAGGAGGCCAGCCCAACTGCCATGGTCATCTCCAGGGCAGCCCCAAGCTGGGCCCCAAGTGCTGACTGCCCTCCATCCCCAGGACAAAGGCCCAACCTGGTTTTCATGACAGCTGTGGCTGGGGAAACCCCTGTTGCCGGGAGAAACCGAGTTGACTTTGAAAAGGAAGAGACAGAAGCCAGGGGGTGGCTGGGCCACTCCCTGTGGGGGCAGGTGCTAAGTCACTCTATAAACTCTGGCTAACGATGCAATCACAGCCATAAACAGAGCCCCAGGAGGGCTCAGGGCCAGAAGCTGGACCCTCAAAGGGCAACCAGGCTTGAGGGGTGGGCGTCCCCTTCCACCTACTTCCCTGCTTTCCAGAAACAGGCCCAGCAGGCCTGTGGCAGCGCATGTGGGACTCTGGAAGGGCTCCTGCCTGCCCTGGCCCACTCCCTGCCCACCTCTGACTGTGAGTCACCAGGCCATTAGCCCGCAAAAGCCCAGCTGGCTCTCTCTGGGTTCAGTGCTAAGGTGGCCCCTGCCCTATCCCCTGAACTCCCCAGAACCAAGATACCTGGGTCCCCATTTGGCTCTGCCTTTTGGAGCTGAGTTGAGGCCTGCAGCTGTAACCGGCCTTGTAAACGATAAGCAGCACTGGCTTCCCTCGGGGAGGAGCAGAGCATGGAGTCACCCAAACAGCCCTGCCCTTCATTGACACCCTCCAGCTCCCAGCTCTCCGGGCCCAGCGGCCAGGAGGCAGAGGGAAAGAAGGGAGCCAGGCGAGCTGCTCATGGTCCTGGGGCTAAGGACACCGGCATGGTGAAAACATACCATCAGGTTAGCAGGCAGGGACCTCAGGGCAGCTGACCGTTCCCCTTCCTCTGCCTCTGCTGGCCGGCCAGGAATTATTGCTGGCTGTCCCTTCCCTCCCCGAGGGGAGGCCTGAGGGCTGTCTCCCAGTTGGGACACCAAGTACGGCGTTCCAACCCAGCTGCATCCGCATCTGGCCACCCAGGAGGAACCCAGAGACCAGCCGCACACCTCATCCCCAGGTGCCCAGGAGTACCAGGTCTGGGCCAATGGAATCTCGGCCAGGGCGTGGGCAGGGGCCTGAGGCCACACCCCAGAGGTGTCACTAGGGGCCTGCATCGGTCTTGTCACTTTCCCTGAGGGATGAAGTAACCCCTCACTCGGGATGGGGAAAAGGCAGAGGATGGGAGCTACGCAGTAGTAATTAACCTGCACTTTGCCAGCAAGCGCCAGGCCAAAAACTGCGCTCAAGTAGAGTACAGAAACTCCACACTGAACGGTCCCCAGAACAGACAGGCGAGAGAACGACGGCTAGAGCTGTAGGGGGTTCGGGGAAAGGCGCAGCGGCCAGGGGCTGGAGGCGGGCTGGAGCCTGGACCCAGTAGGGTTCCCGCAGACGAGTCCCGCCCCGGGCGCCCCCTCTTCCTCCCCCGGGGCGCGGGGCTGGAGAGCGCCAGGCGGCTGCGGCGCGAACCTGCTCGCGAAGCCCGGAGCAGTTCGGGGCAGCCGTGCGTGAAGCCGGAACCCCGCGCGGGGAGGGGGCGAGGGGTGGGGGCCGAGCTGGCATCTGCCCGCTGCCTTCCAGGAGGCGAGTGGACGCGCTGGGCCAGAGCTGGTCGGAACAGCCAGGGGGTGGGCGGCGCGGACTCGGGGGATCAGGGGGAAGGGGGCGTGTTTTCCGGGATTCGGGACCGAGACGGGGGAGGAGGAAACTCGTGGGGCGGGCCGGTGGCTGGGAGCTCCGGGGGGAGGCAGACAACGGGGTGCACGGAGGGAGCGCTCCGGGGTTGGTGATCCCCAGGGTCATGGAATAACGCACGGGGAGAAAGAGGCTGCCCAGGGAGGGACTCGAACGGACAGGGCCAGGGGCAGCTTCTTCCAGAGACGGAGCTGGAGGAAGGGACGGGGAGGGAGGGAGAGATGGTACTTCCACCCGCCCCCCCAGCGGTCCGGCCCCCGGGGCGTGGCGCCGCTCCGGCCCTCCCACTCCCCCGCTGGCCTGGCCAGACTCGGCCCCCGCACACCTCCCCTACCTCCGACCCCCTCTCCGGCCTCCCGGGCCCCGGCCGCGTCTGGTGGAGGGGAAGTGGGCGCGGGGCCCGCGCGTCCCTCAAACTTCTTGCAAGTTCACTCCCACGCCTCCCGCCCCTTCGACTCCCAGCTCCGGGCCGGGAAGGCCCGTGCCCGCCCTGCCCCTCCCGCCCGGTTACATAAGGTAGCGGAGCAGCCGCCCCCGGCCCGCGGCTGAAGGGAGGGGCCCAGGGGGTCCCGGCTCGGCGGGCAGCGCCGCTCGGGCCAGGCGCTGGGCGCCCGGGCGCGGACGAACCGCGGGGTGGGTGGCGGCGCGCACCGTCCCGCTCCCCTCTCCTGCGGGCATCCCCCACCCGCCCACCTGTCTCCGGGACCCACTGGATAGGGGCCAGGGAGCCTGGGTCGTGGGTCTCGGACCCTCCTCGCGCCCCTCGCCCCCCGGCCCCGCTCACCTCGCTCTGAAGGTCAATCTGTCCGCCGCCCGCGCCCCGCGGCTCCGGCAACTTGTCTCAAGTTCGGGTGCCTGGCCCACGAGCTGTGCCCGCAACCTGCTCCCGGGCTGCTCCGGCTCCGCGCCACCAGGGAGGCCCGCCCCGTCCGCCCTTCCCGCCGCCGACGGCGCCGCGGCCGCTCCCTGCGTCCCGCCCGGGCCGCCGCCTCTGCTGTCACCGAGCCCCGCGCCCGGCGCCCGGGCTCGGCTGTCACTCCGCGCCCACTTCCCTCCGCGCCCAGCAGAGGGCAGCACCCGCCCCGCCTCCCAGCCGCTCTACTGCGGCGCCCACTGGGAAGCGTAGTCCTCGCTGCAGTCCCGCTGGGTACGCCGGGATTTGTAGTCCCGCTCAGCGGGCCAAGGCTTACAAAGAGGCTCTTGTTCGACTTCTACCCCTTTACAAGTTTTCTTTCTCCTCTCAGTAATGTCCCAAACCAGGGCTCACTACGATACATTCTGTGGCCTGTCCGACCCCCTAGAAGGAACCTACAGCCGGCTGTCCTTCGGCAGTCTAAGAAAGATACAGGGTCCCAGATGGTATGCTGTTGCCATAGAAACTCCACTCGTGGCAAATTCCAGTTTCTCTCCAGGAGTGGGGTGCAGGACCTGAATCTTGCGCTTTTATCCCTGCCCATGATCATAAGGGGCAAGGCCGGGGTGAGCCTAGTGAAGGACAGGGTAAAATATGATCGTAGAAGGCAGCCTGCCCCTATTATGGGTTATACATTCATGCCCCACTCACCAGCTGCAGCTTGCTGTCATGTTGCTGGAAAGAAATTGTCCGATCTCCGTTCATGTCACCTTCCCTTGTTGGAAGTCAACAAGGTGCGGAGGCATCATTCTCTTTCTCCTCTTCCCCGCCCCTTTTTCCCAGTCTCCTCCCCTGCCCCTCCCCCACTTTCCTTCTTTCCTTTTTTTTTTTTTTTTTTTTTTTTTTTTTGAGGCGGAGTTTAGCTCTTGTTACCCAGGCTGGAGTGCAATGGCGCGACCTCGGCTCACCGCAGCCTCCGCCTCCTGGGTTCAGGCAATTCTCCTGCCTCAGCCTCCTGTGTAGCTGGGATTACAGGTACGCGCCGCCATGCCCAGCTAATTTTTAGTATTTTTAGTAGAGACGGGGTTTCACCATGTTGACCAGGATGGTCTCGATCTCTTGACCTCGTGATCCACCCGCCTCGGCCTCCCAAAGTGCTGGGATTACAGGCTTGAGCCACTGCGCCCGGCCTCCCTCTCCTCCTTCCCCACAACCATGTCGCTCCTAGTTTCGGGATCTTTTGCTAGGAGGCCCCTGAGGAGAACAGCGATGACGTCCAAAGGGACAGGATCCCTTGCTGAGTTGGTTAGAGCACGTAGGCTCAATTTCTCTGTGACTCAAGTACCTCTCCCTCTTGTCCACAGCTGAGAGGCAGCTCTTCAAATACATCCTGGGACATAGGGGTCTGGGTAAAAATACAGTCAGCCTGTCTGGGTGCGGTGGCTCACGCCTGTAATCCCAGCACTTTGGGAGGCCGAGACGGGCGGATCACGAGGTCAGGAGATCGAGACCATCCTGGCCAACATGGTGAAACCCCGTCTCTACTAAAATACAAAAAAATTAGCCGGGCGTGGTGGCTTGCGCCTGTAGTCCCAGCTACTCGGGAGGCTGAGGCAGGAGAATCACCTGAACCCGGTCGGCGTAGGTTGCAGTGAACTGAGATCGTGCCACTGCACTCCAGCTGGGCAACAGAGCAAGACTTCATCTCAAAACAACAACAACAACAATCAGCCTAACCTCCCTGGCCTTCTGAAGCCCCCCAAGAAATAGTTTCTGGTAGCATCACCTTCCTCCATAAAGAACCCCATGACTGTTACAGGTGCACATAGGCACCTAGAATTTCTCAGAAACTTCTACTCCAAACTTGATCAACAGGTGAGGAAACAGCCATCTAGTTCTAGGGGGTGTTAGACCACTAATCACACTGCTAGTAGACATACATGTGGGTCCCAATGTCACTGGGGTATTTCTGGCGGTAGTCCGGTAAATCAGGTCAGAAGAGCATTTTATTTTATTTGTTTAATTTTTTCTTTTTCTTTCTTTTTTTTTTTTTTTGAGACGGAATTTCATTCTTGTTGCCCAGGCTGGAGTGCAATGGTGTGATCTCAGGCTCACTGCAACCTCCACCTCCCAGGTTCAAGTGATTCTTCTGCCTCAGCCTCCCTAGTAGCCGGGATTACAGGCGTGTGCTACCACACCTGGCTAATTTTGTATTTTTAGTAGAGACGGGGTTTCACCATGTTGGTCAGGCTGGTCTCGAACTCCTGACCTCAAGTGATCCACCCGCCTTGGCCTCCCAAAGTGCTGGGATTACAGACATGAGCCTCTGCGCCCGGCCAGCAGAGCATTTTAGGTTGTTAGAGTGGGACCTCTTTGCCCACCACACAAGAACACTCTCCCCCTGCCAACCACCCACCCATGATAGTGCTAGCTTCCCTTTCCAGGGGAAAAGTGTGAACTTTAAGCTCTGAGGGTTACAGAGCCCATCCCAAGCCTTGCCTTGGGTCCCATTTCTCTTAGAATCACTGTGACCCACCAGGAAACTTCCTAGTCCCTCAGAGAAAACTCCCTTCCAAAAACAACAGGATGACCAACATAAAGAACAACTATTTATTTTTAGAGAAAGTCCAGAGTCCAGAAAAGGAAAGCTGAATCCATAGTGGCGAGACAGAGTCAAAAGGAAGAAGGAGCCCATGCGTCCAGGCAACAGGTCTAGGCGGCAGTGGCAAAGCCCACCCTGTTGTTACCCAAGTCGTAGACGGAATAGTAGGACCTGAGGAAGACATCCCCGAGGATCCACAGGGGCTGGCCGTTCTGGGAGGGCAGGTAGGTGGGCTCGACTCCCACGGTGCAGTAGCCATTGTTCTGCTCAACACAGAAAGGCAGCACTCATTCATTTGTTCACACATGCCCTGCTCAGCTCAGAGCCCCGGTCTGGGAGAACAAGTGCAGAGCTGAGGGAACCAGGGTCTCTGCTTTGAGGGGTCATAGCCAACTGAGCCACCAGAGCAGAGCTGGTGGGAGGATTTCTGGAATAGGTACATTCAGGCTGTGGTGGTCCTCAGCAGAGCCTCCTCTCCCCATGGTGGGAAACTTCTCTTCCCACAGACCTCCCTCCTGCTCCCGATTTGGAGCACGTCAGCCTGGTGGTTCAACCTTGTAGCCAAACTAACTTGGATTCAAACCTCAGCTGTATCGCCTTGATTCGGTTACTCAGCCTCTCCCAACCTCGAAGGTTTCATTTGTAAAACAAAAATGAACATCTCCCTCATCAAATACTGTGACAATTAGGTGGAATCATGAAGCAAAGTGCTTTGTACAGTGATCTGCCCTGGTAAGTGCCCGGCAAAGAGCCCAGTGCCTCTCCCCACTGGAATAGTCATTGTCATAGATGACAATCTTCTATTTCATAGCCTTGTTCCAGAGAAAGGGATTTAGAATCAATGAATGGGAAAGTGCAGCACGGAGTTGGAAAATGGTATAAGGCAGGAGACCCAGCATTTCCAGCTCCCCAGCCCTTACTCCCACCCCCACTCGTGATGGCTCAGCCTGCAGGGACCAGGACTTACACTGAGGATGTAGGAGGAGGGCGGCAGAGGGAATTCCACACCATTGATGATGAAGGTCAAGGTGGGCAGATTCTGGATACTGTTACAGTTCACGAGAAACTGCAAGAGGAATAGGTCCCTGTTGGCTCATCTTCTCCCTGATAACACCCACCAGCCCCATCATCTCAGCCCCTGGATTCCAGGCCTGAGCCCCGGACCCAAGCCCCAAGCCTGTTTTTGGACTAGAGAATGCAGCCCCAAGGGAAAGTCCTGTGTAGGTCATGCTGGCATTACACCATGGACTCATAGAGTGGGTGTGATTTGGAGAGATCCCAGAGCCTCCCCACACCTCTTGCCACAGTTTCCCATATTAGAGCTTGAACCTCTGCTCTTTCTCTGCAAGTGCCCGTGTGTGTGTGTGTGTGTGTGTGTGTGTGTGTATACACATAAATATATATAAATGGCTATATATATACACACACACATATACACACATGTATACACACATATATACACACACACACAACCTCTGTTCATTCTCTGCAAGTGTCCATATATATGTGTGTATATACATACACACACACACATACATATAAACACACATATATATACACACATATACACACACATATATATGTGTATATATATATTTTAGTAGAGATGAGGTCTCACCATGTTGGTCAGGTTGGTCTTGAACTCCTAGCCTCAAGCAGTCCACCCGCCTTGACTTCCCAAAGTGCTAGGATTACAGGCATGAGCCATGACACCCGGCCTGCAAGTGGCCTTTTAAAACATAAAGATCTGGCCAGGCACGGTGGCTCATGCCTGTAATCCCAATACTTCGGGAGGCCGAGGCAGGCAGATCGCTTGAATCCAGGAGTCTGAGACCTGGCTGGGTGACGTGGCGAAACCCCGCTACCACCAAAAATACAAAAATCAGCTGGGCATGATGGCGCATGCCTCTAGGCCCAACTACTCGGGAGGCTGAAGTGGAAGGATTGCTTAAACCCAGGAGGAGGAGCTTGCAGTAAGCCGAGATTGTGTTACTGCGCTCCAGCCAGGGCGACAGAGACGCTGTCTCAAAACAACAACAACAACAACAAAAACACATCTGCAGAATGAGCACCCCATTGGTCTCCAAAATTAAAGTGAATGGTAGTGGCGTTGGGTTAATTAGACAAACCCTTGGCTGGACCCAGGACAGACAGGCGCAGGGGAGCACGGCCCTGTGGCGGGGAGGGAGGTGTGGATAAAGGGTCAGCCCGGGTTGTTCACATACTCAGCCCCACATTCCAGTCATTTTGCTCTTATCCCAAAGTCCAGCTAGGGTTTCATCTGTTTCTGCTGAGTGACTGCAGCTCAGAAGAAATTCCTGCCTAATAGTAACTGCCACTTGCCTTCAGCACAAGCATCTGGCCCCACCTGAACAGGCTTCCAGGCCCTCCGCCTGCCCCCAGCCCCAGTTGTTAGTCCTCGAACCTCCAGTGCCTTGGGCAGCTAGAGGCATGGAGGTCAAGAGTTAGGCTTTTTTTTTTTTTTTTTTTGAGACAGGGTCTTGTTTTGTCACCCAGGCTGGAGTGCAAAGGCGAGATCATGGCTCACTGCAGCCTCCACCACCTGGGCTCAAACCATCCTCCCACCTCAGCTCCCAAGTAGCTGGAACTACAGGCACATGCCACCGCACCCGGCTAATTTTTCTATCCCTTGTAGAGACAGAGTTTTGTCATGTTGCCCAGGCTGGTCTTGAACTCCTGGGCTCAAGCAATCTGCCTGCCTTGGCCTCCCAAAGTGTTGGGATTACAGGCGTGAGCCGCAGCACCCAGGTGGCTATTCTTGTGTTGCCAGGAGAAATCCTGAATGCCTCTGGACCGATCTCCTGGAGAAGGGGACATGCCTGCCAGTCATACCTGTCCATACTCATCCTCCTGGGCCCCTGTGGCCTCCAGAAAAGCACTCATGTACTGCTGGGGCACAGTGAGCAGAGAGGTTCCTGTGTCCACGATGGCCTGGCAGCCCTCAGAGCACCAGCCAGAGGCCTGGCCGCCAATGAGGAACCTGAATGGGGAGAAGAGGGGCAGCCTCAGGACACCCCTGGTTCAGGGTGTAGGGGGGAAGGGGGCAGGCTTTCCCCACCACCTCGGGACAAACAGCTACAGCTTCTTTCTTGAGGAAAGTGAGGACCCTGCAAAGATCAATCCAGCTATTCCCCTGCATCATGCCACGGGACCTATCCCTTAAAAGTGTCAAGGAAGTTTCTAAAAACAGTGAAAACCAGGGCCACTGATTCATTGTAAGGACTCTGAGCAAATTAGTCACTAACACACCCTCAGTTCTAATCTGTGAGCCCATGGGGTTGGACTGCAGGGTCCCTCATGCTCAGGAGCCCAAGCCCTGACCCTCCCTATGCTGAGCTGGGTTTTGTCACTCCTGCAGAGGGCAGTTGCGGCTTTGTAGGAGTAAGCCTCAGGGGTCCTCTGCCCCATCCAGAGCAGTGCCAGATGTGTGTGTGTGTGTGTGTGTGTGTGTGTGTGTGTGTGTGTGTATGTGTGTGTGTATGTGTGTGGGTGTGGGTGTGTGGGTGTGGCATGGGGTTCCTGGAAGCCCACTCTAAGGAAGTGCCACATCCCCGGGGCCCACCACAGACTCACTCCTCAATGCCAATCTGCCAGTAGAGCTCCTGGGTGACAGGTGCCCAGTAGATCTGCCCGGTGTACAGGCTGCTGTCCACACCCCCGAAGACAACCGCTCCCCCGCTGGAGCCCTGCTGGCTGCAGGAGAGAATGGGAAGGCTAAGTCAGGGAGTGCCACAGAAAAGAACCTCCCTGCTGCGCAGTCACCTCCACAGAAACAGACCTCCTTCCCTGCTCCAGACCCGGGCTCCCTGAGGATGGAGCTAAGTCTCCCCTCAGACTGGGATTCCCTGGGGACAGGGCTGTGTCCCTTAGACTGGGGCTTTCTGGCTGGGCCTTGGAATTCCCAGTGCCTCAGGCTCCCAAATGATGCCGACCTCTGGGGGAGCCCTGGTGGTTGGGACCCCCACCCCACACTCTGCTCTCCTCTCCCCTCCGCTTCCTGCCTCTGGTAGACCTGTCACCGGGAGCCCCATCCAGGCCCAGTTTGTTACTTTTCTGCTAAGACTGGAGACAGGTTGGGCCTTGGTGAAGGGGGTAAGGACATTCCGTGTTTGTTCCAGAGGCTTCCCTCGTAGCTGGGTGGAGCTGCTCTGTTTACACGCAGAGGAATCATAAACAGATGCGGAGAAGGAGTTAGCAATATTAGTAACAGGGTGAGGTCCTTGAAAGTCAGATTCCCCAGATTGGTCCAATTAAGCTAACAGTCTCTAGAAAGTGGCTGGCTAATTCTGAAGAAGAAAAAAGAAAAGTGGGCTGGGCATGGTGGCTCACGCCTGTAATCCCGGCACTTTGGGAGGCTGAGGCGGGCGGATCACAAGGTCAGGAGATTGAGATCATCCTGGCTAACGTGGTGAAACCCCTGTCTCTAGTAAAATTACCAAAAATTAGCTGGGCATGGTGGTGCATGCCTGTAGTCCCAGCTACTCCAGAGGCTGAAGCAGGAGAATCGCTTGAACCCAGGAGGTGGAGGTTGCAGTGAGCCGAGATTTCGCCACTGCACTCCAGCCTGGGTGACAGAGCAAGAATATATCTCAAAAAAAAAAAAAAAAAAAAAAAAAAAAGAAGCCGGGCGCGGTGGCTCAAGCCTGTAATCCCAGCACTTTGGGAGGCCGAGGCGGGTGGATCACAAGGTCAAGAGATCGAGACCATCTTGGTCAACATGGTGAAACCCCGTCTCTACTAAAAATACAAAAAAAATAGCTGGGCATGGTGGTGCGTGCCTGTAATCCCAGCTACTCCAGAGGCTGAGACAGGAGAATTGCCTGAACCCAGGAGGCGGAGGTTGCGGTGAGCCGAGATCGCACCATTGCACTCCAGCCTGGGTAACAAGAGTGAAACTCCGTCTCAAAAAAAAAAAAAAAAAAAAAAAAAAAGAAGAAGAAAAGAGGAAGGAAGGCCGATGGCGGTGGCTCACGCCTGCAATCCTAGCACTTTGAGAGGCTGAGGTGGGTGGATCACCTGAGGTCAGGAGTTCAAGACCAGCCTGGCCAACATGATGAAACCCCATCTTTTAAAGAAATAATAATAAATAAATAAATAAGAGGAAGGAAGAAAAGGAGAAAGAGAGAAAGGAAGAAAGAAAAGAAAGAGAAAAAAGAAAAGTGGGTGCCAGGCTGCTCATCCCCACCCACTGCCCGGCTCACTAAATGGCTGCACATGCTTGTGCTGACTGGCAAGGATAAGAACCTGCTGGAGGTCTGCGGTGGACCTGGACCAGAAGACTCCAGGACCAGGCCAGACCAATAGATTAAAGGAGATGAGGCTGGGCGCGGTGGCTCACGCCTGTAATCCCAGCACTTTGGGAGGCCGAGGCGGGTGGATCACGAGGTCAAGAGATCGAGACCATCCTGGTCAACATGGTGAAACCCCGTCTCTACTAAAAATACAAAAAATTAGCTGGGCATGGTGGCGCATGCCTGTCATCCCAGCTACTCAGGAGGCTGAGGCAGGAGAGTTGCCTGAACCCAGGAGGCGGAGGTTGCGGTGAGCCGAGATTGCGCCATTGCACTCCAGCCTGGGTAACAAGAGCGAAACTCCATCTCAAAAAAAAAAAAGGAGATGAAGCAACGAATTCCTATGCAAAAGAGGGATACAGGTAGAAAACATTGGGTCAGAAGGAAGTGAGCAAACTGCCCCACCCGCTTCTCCAGCAGGAGGCCTATCCAAGGGCTGCTGAGGATCAGAGTGACAAAACTCAGGTCAAAGTTCAGCCCCTGTAGAAGAGATTCCGCCCAGCCATGGAATGCAAAGAAAAGTCGGAGTAGACTAGGGACAGGTGCAGGGGCGGGGTCTGGTGGAGTGAGTGGGAGAGGATTCAGAAGCCCAGGGCGAAGGCCCTGGAACAGGACTGACTGGAGCCAGATGCCCGCTGGGATGCCTCCAAACCCCAAAGCACTGAGCACTGAGCCTCAGTTGTCCAGGGCGGCCGGGGAGCACCCTGGGAGTTGGGGAGCAGCAGGCCGGTTGCTCACTTGCTGAGGTAGAAGCTGAAGACAGGGCTGGTGAGGACATCCTCCTGCAGCATGCCCTGCATGGCTGTGGTGGCCCCGCCCACAGACAGAGCAGGGTAGGCCAGGCCCATGATGCCATCAAACTGTGCGTAGATGAAATTGGTACCAGGCTCATTCTCACTCAGGCCGAACTCCTGGTTGGGGACCTGGATGCTCTGGACCTAACAGGGACACAAATGAGAGGAGGTGACAAGTCTGACTCCACTCACCGCCCCCAGGTTCCCCTAGAGACTCCTCAAGCCTCTGTTCATCCCTTCCTCACCTCTGCCTCTTTTTGACAGGTGTTGTGGGAGCCACCTCTCTCAGGCAGCCTTGCTTGACTGCCACAGCTCACCTCTCCACCCACCTCCTTCTTCTCTGAACTCCCCAGGCCCTACACTCCTTTTTTATTTTTATTTTTTTTTGAGACAGAGTCCCACTCTGTCACCCAGCCTGGAGTACAGTGGTGTCATCTCGGCTCACTGCAACCTCCATCTCCTGGGTTCAAGCAACTCTACCGCCTCAGCCTCCTGAGGAGCTGGGATTACAGGTACGCGCCACCACACCTGGCTAATTTTTTTGCAATTTTTAGTAGAGACAGGGTTTCACCATCTTGGCCAGGCTGGTCTTGAATTCCTGACCTCATGATCCACCCGCCTTGGCCTCCCAAAGTGCAGGGATTACAGGCCTGAGCCACTGAGCCCAGCCTGCCTGACACTCCTTAAAGAAAAGGACCATGTCTCTCTTGTTCAGCATGGTTCCCCAGTGCCTGGCACATGGTGGCCACCAGTGAGTATTGGGGGAGTGACTGAATGGGTTCATCATGTCCTGCCTTCCTGTCCTGCACACGAGGACACCAGCATTCCACCATGTTTCAGGAGGCTCCGTCTAACTGTCCCCTCCTGCTTGTAGCTCACGGCCCCAGCCTCCACTCCCCATGCCCACTCACAGTCAGGGTGTCATAGCCAAAGAGGCCGGTGAGGCTGCCGCTGCCGTACTGCAGAGAGAAGGTCTGCCCGTTGCTGGAGTAGGTGGAGGATGCACTGGGGTTGAAGCGGGAGTGACTGGCTGCAGGGGGAGTCAGGGCATGGGGAGTCAGGCCAGCCGGTGCTCTCACCTCAGCCTCTGTCAGGCTGTGCTCACATCCTGGGACCTCAGCACCCCAGACCACAGAGTCAAGGGGTGGCCAGCCAAGGCTCCCAGCACAGGAAGGCCCATGAGAGCTGGCCAGCCTTGGCCCCAAAGCCCCTTCTGACTTACAGAATCTTGGGATGCCCCAGGACTGTGGCCTCCCTGGGGACAGGGTTGCAGAGAACCCAACTCTGAGTCCCTGGCCCGTAGCGGAGCACCTGGCTCACAGCAGTGCCAAGTAATTACTCATCAGATGAAGGAGTGAATGGGCCTGCACCACCTCCCAGCATTCCCCCAGCCCTCCAGGGCATCCCCAGGTGCCCCCGCCTTCACTCATCAAGAAGCTCGTCATAGCATAGAGTGGGGCCATCGAGGGACCCCCTTGGGCCAGAGGTGTCAGGACCCAAACCCCAAGGCTTCAGCAGGAACCAGGGCAATCTTAAGAAAGCAAACACTACCTGTCTCCCAAAGCCACTATAGTATGGAGCCCACATCCTATATTCTGTTGTGTCTCTTGGAGACACTCAGTGAGAACTTAGCAAATAGTAGGGTGGAGCAGAATAGAATGGAGTGGGATGAAATGGACTGGAAATTAGTCACATGGAATGGAATGGCACTCCCCAGAGGGAACAGAATGGGGAGAGTGGGATAAAAGGGAGCCGGGGGTTAGGGGCTGGCATAAGCAAAAGGATACATATTGGTCAGCAGGGAAGGTAAAGGGGCCCTCCAGCTGCAGGACCAGCATCTTTCCTGTGGCTTAGGTATGCTGTGTGGCCCTGCACATGTCCCTGGTCCTCCCCAAGACTGAGTTTCCCTCAGTCCTGAGCTCCCTGTGGGATCTGTGGGACCCTCCCCAGAACCCTCTGTCAGTGCCTTGCCCTGCCCACCGCCCCTCTCTGCCCAGCCCAGCACTCACTGCAGGCCTGGCTCTGGCAGTAGACAGAGGGCACCCACAAGTTGGAAGAGCCGGTGTCAAAAAGGACCAGGAAGTTCTGGGGTGGAGTCCCAATGCTGATCTCACCAAAGTAGGCAGCCTGGGGGCCATGGAGCAAGCTGTTAGTTCCAGAGGGATCCGGGGGGGCCCCAGGCTTTTCCATGGGCAGAGCAGTGAAGGGACCTGCCTCTTCCCTCCAGCCCACACCAGAGAGAAGACTATCCTCAGGAAGGTTCAGGACTCACATCCATGTAGTCCATGGGCTCGTAAGACACGCTGAGGTCACTAAAGTGGTACTTCCCAGCAGGATCACGCTTGTGGGTCTTCAAGAACTCCCGCAACAAGCCCTTCTCCTTCATGGTCTCACGGATAGACTTAAATTTCTTCAGGGGCACTCTACAGAAGGGTTGTGTATGAGGCAAGGCCCTCCCTCCTTCCTCTCTTCCAAGTCCTCTGTTTCTCTCTCTCCATCTCTAACTGCATGCTTCAACCTCCCTGCCACTCTGTTCCCCCTTGTCTGTATGTGTGTGTCTTTCTCTCTCCTTCTCCCTCTCAGCCTTTTTCTCTCTGTCTCTGTCTCTCTCTGTGTGTTTCTTCCTCCTTTTGCCCCTTCATCTCTTTCTTCCAAAGCTCTTTTCAGCACTTGCTCCAAGATTCAGAAAACCGTTCATTTCACCCATGCATGCTCCCCTCGTCCCATCTCAAGGATCCTCCGAACTCCCTGACCCTTTGCTGTCAAATATTCCATAGATTCCTCCTCAGGAAAGGAATAGGGACTTTAGGCATTACCCTTTGCAGGATATGTAAATTTTTTTTTTTTTTTTTTTTTTTTTTTTTTGAGACGGAGTTTCGCTCTTCTACAAGAGTAGTCACCCCTACCGTCTCTTGTCACCCAGGCTGAAGTGCAATGGCACAATCTTGGCTCACTGCACCCTCTGCCTCCCGGGTTGAAATGATTCTCCTGCCTCAGCCTCCTGAGTAGCTGGAATTACAGGCACCCGCCACCATGCCTGGTTAATTTTTTGTATTTTTAGTAGAGATGGAGTTTCATTATGTTGGCGAAGCTGGTCTCAAACCTCTGATCTTGTGATCTGCCTGCCTTGGCCTCCCAAAGTGCTGGCATTACAGGCATGAGCCGCTGTGCCCAGCCCAGGATATGTACATTTTTTTTTTTTTTTTTTTTTTTTTGAGACGGAGTTTTTGCTCTTGTTACCCAGGCTGGAGTGCAATGGCACGATCTCGGCTCACCGCAACCTCCGCCTCCTGGGTTCAGGCAATTCTCCTGCCTCAGCCTCCTGAGTAGCTGGGATTACAGGCATGTGCCACCATGCCCAGCTAATTTTTTGTATTTTTGGTAGAGACGGGGTTTCACCATGTTGACCAGGATGGTCTTGATCTCTCGACCTCGTGATCCACCCACCTCGGCCTCCCAAAGTGCTGGGATTACAGGCTTGAGCCACCGCGCCCGGCCGATATGTACATTTTTAAGAGATTTCAGAGGTGGCACAGTTCATCCCAGAGTTCCTTCCTGTGGTGGCCCTCAGGCACCTGGCCCCAGCTGGATGTGTCAGAGCATGGAGCAAGGGGAACAGCACGAGCTGGGACTCAGGACATAGGGTCCTAGTTCTGTCTCTGCTGCTAATTGCATGGCCTAGGCCCCATCACTGTTGTTCTCAGGACGCCAGGACCATGGGGAAGTTGAGCTGGGTGGTCTGGAGCACAGATCAGTTCTGGGATTGAAACTTACAAATCATGGTTTCTGCCCCTTCCTATAGGCTCAGTCACCCCCCTTGGCTCTCTCCTTCCCAGACTTGCTTGCTGCCATTGCCTGGGAATCTCTAGGGGTTCGCTCTGGCCTTGCTCTAGGCTCCAGAATTCCTGCTTAATCCCCATTCCCTGGGCACTCTGCGTTCTCCAGAAATTCTCTGCTAAACCCCTCCACCCCTCAGAAAGTACTCTTGGATAAAGAAACAACAGACAAGATGGCAGGCTGGGAGGCTTCCTGACGGCCTGTGAGCCATACCATCTACTCCAGAGTTTTCTCCCGACCCCTCAGGGTATAGAAATTTATATTTACTGGTGTTTCTGCTTGGATGATTTTGGCATCTGCCAGTAAATTTTCGGCCTTAAGGCAATTTTTAGAAAGGATTCTGGATAAGATACCCCTTATCCAGAAAGGATTGCTCCCTTCTGCAGGAAGAATCCACACCTGCCATAGAGGGGCTGCTTGGGCAGTAGTCACCCCTACCGTCTCTGTTTTGGGTCTATCTTTTCCTCATCAGATAGGGGAAGGGATTAGGCTTTTCCCTTTGATGGGAAGTTTCCTGTAGGCAGGGGCTGTGTCTCCTTCCCCCCACGTATCTTGTCCAACATTAGCAAAGGAAGGCTTCCCTTCCCCTAGCAGAAACCCCAGAATAAAGACAGGTAGGGTGTCCCCGGGTGCAGCTGTCCTTTGCAGGGCTTAGGCTCCCACCCAGCTTCCCTGTACAAGCAGCCAGGTCCCAGACTCACTTGACCACAGCTGCCTCCAAGAGCTGGAGGCAGACGAAGGCCACCACCATCCACTTCATGATGCTGGTCGTGCACTGGCTGTAGAGGAAGAGCCACTCCGAGTTCTGCGGTCGAAGTGGAGTGAAGACCTGGGCACTCCTTCCCCTTTTATACCCCCAGGATCTAGCCTGGTCACTGCATCCCTGCCCTGGGTGTACCCTGTGCTTTGTGTATCAACTGTTTCTGTGTATTTTTCCTTCTTGAGAGTGGCTGCAACAGACTTTCATCTTATTGACTTTTTAATTCAAGCATCAGAGGCCAGGGGTGCAGGCGATAAGAGAGAAAGTTGCTGTAAGATGGAATGGCAAAGATTACGACTTGTCCGCAGACCAGAGGCATAATGTGTGCATTTGGAGACGAGGGCCAGAAAAAGGTAGAGGCAGAGTGCTGACATAGATAGGATCTATAGGCAGGGCTTCTCAACCTCAGCGCTGTTGACATTTTGGAACAAATAGTTCATTGTTGTGGGCCCCATCCTGCGTACTGTAGAATGTTTAGTAGTATCCCCGGCCTCTACCCACTCCATGCCAGGAGCAGTCCACCCATTGTGCCAACCAAAAACATCTTCAGGCACTGATAAATGTCTTCTGGATGAGCAAAATCGTTGAGAACTGCTGGTTTATAGATTACGTACTTGGAGCTTTGACTCAAGGCAGCACCCTCAGACCCTCAGGGGAGGAGATAGGGGTGTCGGGGGGGTCAGGAGGTCAGTAGCTAGGATGCTGGTTCTGATGATGGTGGTGGTGAGGGTGGTGCTGATGGCGGTGTCTGGAGTGCTGGTGCTGGTGGTGGGGCTGGGATGACAATGGCTCAAGTCACAGCTGTTTGAGCAGCTTCAGAAGCTTTCAAGGTCCAGCAGAACATTTGGAGAAATGCTTGTCGTAATTTCGCAAGTGCTCAGGACCCATTCGTAGAGTAAGCCGCACCTGCTTCTGGTTGTGCCTCTTGTACCAGCCTGGATCCGAGGCCTGGAGCAGGGGCATAAGAAGAGGGACAGGCCCCTGCCCTGCTGCTGTTCCTCGTTGTCTCTTCTGCCCTGCTGTGTCCCTGCCTCTGGCTTCAGTTCTCCTAAAGTGCCTATGTCTCCCATGACCCACTCCCAAGCCCTTGTGCAGCCCCCAAGTCTGATTTGTCGGTTCCTCTATCCCTCATCCCCAGCCCCCACCCCTTCTCCTACCTCCCCAACTCCCCACACCACTTCCCAGCTCCCAGCTTCCCATTGCCTGAGGTGACCTGGAGCTGGCCTAGTGCCTGCTCACCTGGCCCACAACAGCTCTCCATTTTGGAGTGAGTGGAAAAAAAAATCCCCATGCCAATAGCCTCTCTGTCACCTTGTACCCCAAACTCAGGGCTCCAGGCAGATTTGTCAGGTCCTCAGGCCCCAGGCAGAAGGCCAGGACCAGATCTGCTAAACACTGATATCATCCAGCCAGTGGGGGATTTTCCACCCTGGCCACTGCTACCCACTGCCCAGCCAGATCCCTGGAGCTTCCCCAAGCCTCGTGATGGGGGAGGGGAGGGAGGACTGGCAGTCAGACCTACCTGATGGTGTCACAAGCCAACTCAGCTCCCATTCCTCCCTGCGGTCCCCAGAGGTAAATTGGACGCTGAGGTGAAAGACAAGATAGGTAGTGCCTTCCCTGGAGTTGGGGGAAATATGCATATTTGGAAGAGCAGAGAAATGAAAGTTACAAGGATTGGCCAGGTACGGTAGCTCACGCCTGTAATCCTAGCACTTTGGGAGGCCAAGGTGGGCAGATCACAAGGTCAGGAGTTCGAGACCAGCCTGACCAACATGGCGAAACCCCGTCTCTACTAAACATACACAAATTAGCTGGGTGTGGTGGTGGGCACCTATAATCCCAGCTACTCAGAAGGCTGAGTCAGAAGAATCACTTGAACCTAGGAGGTGGAGGTTGCAGTGAACCGAGATTGTGCCACTGCACTCCATCCTCAGTGACAGATTGAGACTTTGTCTCAAAACAAAAAAAAAAAAAAAAGAAAAGAAAAGAAAAGAAAGAACGTTATAGGATCATTGGAATCTAGCCAAATCCTGTTATACGGCAGAATTCATGGGATCCCCTAAGTTGTGTGAGGCACCCAGATTCCCCAACATGGGCTTTAGGGTCCCTTTTCTTATCTGGTAGGACTCCAGGAGTCTGGCTGCTGCCAGCCTAACCTTCCTGAAACACCCAAGTCACACCGAATCCCTTCTGAGCGTCCCTGACCAACTGCACCAAGCTAGGGCATCCCTGCTTGGCTGCCAGGCCCTGGAGGTCTACAGCCCCTGCCTGCCCAGTTGATCTTCTGATAGCTCAGTCAGTTTCCTCAGAATCTCAAACATCCCAAGTCCTCTCCTGCCGGTAGTCTGCCCTGCCTGCCGCCCCCGCCATATCTGAAAAGCTCACTTTTCTCCCTGCTACATGTCAAATTCTGCTCTCCCTCAAGTCCCCTCCTCCAAGAACCAGAGGCCTGCAGTGCCCGAAGATACCTTAGAAGTCATCCAGGGACCCCTCCAGCTGAGTACAGAAGCCCCAGGATACCTGACCTGCTGGCTTTTACCCAAGTTCTACCCCTAAATGCTGCACGCCCAGCTTGTGCCCTTCCCTTGGTACCAGATCTCACACTGTCTGGGATTGGTCTCCGGGTGTTTCCCAGGGCCATGGTTTTTTTCTCCACAGACTAGCAGCTCCCGGAGAGCAGAGCTCAAAGCTTCTGCATCCCGGAGCCTGACTCAGAGCTCAGGAAATCCTGAACAATAGAGCTCAGGAGATTCTCACTGGGCCTTAGCTCTGGCTCCCACAGCCCATTGTCCTGGGGCTCTGATTGCTAGCCTACGCCTCCAGGGGATTTCGTCAAATTCCAGGGCCTCAGATCCCTTCATGGTGGTGGTGCCCCAGGAAGGAGGCTTTTCTTGTGGGCTTCTAGTCTTATGTCTTTTAAGAATCACTTGCATCAAAACTCATCAGAAGCCCACCGCTAACTAAATAAAACTCAAACTTGTTATCTTGGCATTCAGGACATTCTCAGTTTCCCACGTTTCCAAGATCATCTTCTACAACTAACCTGCATATGCACTTTGCTTTCCCCCAATGAGGCCTATTATTTTCTCACCTCCATGCCTTTATCCATGCTACGCCCTCCATCTGAAATACCCTTCCCAAGCATAGACACCTGCAAAATCTCATCCATCAAGACCCAGCACGAATGCCACAAAATCTTCTCTGTTGAGCGCACCTACTCTCAAACTGACTGTTGATTGTGGAGAATTTTGCTTTTGTTCTCTTAAGGTACTTATTCATGCCATTTTATATCCCAGTGATTTGCCCAAAATCCTATAGCTTTTAACTGAAAGAGGTTTCTTCCTGCACATCGTCCCTGCAGTATCACAAACTCATGTTTTCAGAAGGTCTACAAAAATGACAAAATGGCTGGGCGCGGTGGCTCAAGCCTGTAATCCCAGCACTTTGGGAGGCCGAGGCGGGTGGATCACGAGGTCGAGAGATCGAGACCATCCTGGTCAACATGGTGAAACCCCGTCTCTACTAAAAATACAAAAAATTAGCTGGGCATGGTGGCACGTGCCTGTAATCCCAGCTACTCAGGAGGCTGAGGCAGGAGAATTGCCTGAGCCCAGGAGGCGGAGGTTGCGGTGAGCCGAGATCGTGCCATTGCACTCCAGCCTGGGTAACAAGAGCGAAACTCCGTCTCAAAAAAAAAAAAAAAAAATGACAAAATGGCAATAGGAATGGGAATGTCTCTAGAAGAGGGGTCAACTATATAGCATGCACACTGTCACTACTCATTCTTCACCACTGGCGGACATCACTAATCAATCATGTCACTCTTTTCCACAGGGCTCAGACATGGCCTTAGAATCCCTCCCTGTCTAATGCTCCCTGCAGGCATTCTCAGTCAATCATGACATGATAGTCCCTACGTCCATTAATGGAGGAATTTAAAAAAATTTTTTGCTCTGAGGAGAAATTCATGCAGAAATTATAAAAAAAAAAAATTTTTTTTTTTTTTTTTTTTTTTTGCATAATAGGCTGGGCATGGCAGCACACACCTGTAATCCCAGCACTTTGGAAGAGCAGCCTGGCCAACATGGTAAAAACCCCATATCTACTAAAAATACAAAATTTAATCGGGCATGGTGGCAGGTGCCTGTAATCCCAGCTACTCAGGAAACTGAGGCAGGAGAATCGCTTGAATCCAGGAGGAGGAGGTTTCAGTGAGCTGAGATCGTGCCACCGCACTCCAGCCTGGGTGACAGAGCAAGACTCCGTCTCAGTCAATAAATAAATAAATAAAACAAAATTCCGCATACTAAATTGTATTTAAAATTCTACAAAGAGATCACTTTTTAAAAATCAAGGCAACTCGAAATTACAACTATTTGTGCCCTTCTAAATTGTCTTCCAGATCTTACTGTGCATGCCGAGATTTTAACACAGCTGTGACCATTGTGTAAAACCAACTTCTGTTCCACTCCTGTCATGCTGAATTACTGCGTATACATGTTTCCATGCATTAAGATAGGCCACATTTTTATCACTTTCAGTGGCCACACAGTGCTCTATCATCTTGGTAGCTAAGATTACTTGGTCCTAGGCCGGGCGCGGTGGCTCAAGCCTGTAATCCCAGCACTTTGGGAGGCCGAGGCGGGTGGATCATGAGGTCAAGAGATCGAGACCATCCTGGTCAACATGGTGAAACCCCATCTCTACTAAAAATAACAAAAACATTAGCTGGGCATGGTGGCGCGTGCCTGTAATCCCAGCTACTCGGGAGGTTGAGGCAGGAGAAGTGCCTGGACCCAGGAGGCGGAGGTTGCGGTGAGCCGAGATCGCGCCATTGCACTCCAGCCTGGGTAACAAGAGTGAAACTCTGTCTCAAAAAAAAAAAAAAAGATTACTTGGTCCTATTCATTTGGGTTATTTGCAGTTTTTCACTGCTATCAATAGCACTTGGGCTCCCAAACTAAAAATCATCCAAAGGAGTGGAATAGTGAGCCCTCCATTCTCAGAGTCACTCAAGCAGAGGTTAAAGGAGCACCTTTTAAGGAACACTAGCAGTGGGGCCTCTT